CCACTGAATATGCTTGAACTTAGGGGAATCTGACCAGTGATGGGTTAGTCAGTGCACACGGAAATTCTGGTAGGGAATAAAATTCGAGGATTTGAGTGTTTCCAAAGTTCATTATCATTAGCGTTACGTAAGTCAGTTATTTGGAGAAAAGGGGCGCTAAACCGTTTGTGGTGAAAGACAGGACTGTCGATTCGCCACTTCCAACTACCAGATTAGCCTTTTGGTCGCAGCAACTTGGACCAATCGCTGCAAGAAGACTCACCACTTCCAAATGAATTCTGATGAATTAAGAACAAATATGGTCACTTCCAAATAATTCACAAACGATGACACGGGGGGAACATGACACCGCAACGTGTGCAATAACTGTCAGGAAATCGCACAATTCAATTTGTGCGCGTGGAATAATGGCCATCCATAAAAAAATGCCAACCTATGCCTTGAATAGTGCAAACGACCTGATACATCGTCTTACTAGTGGATATTGCACATCTTATTGCATTTGCTTACCTTCCTTGTAAACGTTAAAGCCCTTCCTAGAGGTACGTGCTTTCACACAATTTCGCTCTAGTTTCTTTTTTGCAAAATTCGCAGCCATATCACAACACAATTTATTGATAATACGTAGGCACGCAGAACCCAGGCACACCCACGCCGTGTCTGAGACCAGTAACCGATGTGTTAATACGTCGTGCCATTAAGATTTGTCGCCTAGAAAGTCGACCTACGGAACCCCACAGAATGATCTCATTTCAACCATTTTTGCGTGTTTTCAGAAAGATGTTTGGCAGAATTCGGACGCGTTTTATTGCCCAAGCCGAAAATCGAGCGAAATCGACAAACTCACTTGATAAATTCGAACCAAAACAACGATCCAGTAACTTGACGTGGATTATCTTGAATTTCCACTACCCCAACGGCCCATATTATTTTTAAGTAGGCAAGTTAGCAGATTGCTTTCGGGCCTTTGTCAAGAGTTGTGGCACAAATAAACGATTTACTAGATTAGATATAACATGAACCAAGCAATCAGAGACAAGCTCAAGACAAAGTTTTTCGCCAGTAAAAGGTTTTCTACGAGCTGGATTTACATTTTGAACCACGTGGACGAGGCAGTACACACCCAATTCAACCAACTGGTGTATCTTTTGTTCCCCCAAAACACTTAATCGATCGTTGTATTTCCCTATCAGTTCTGGAATCATTAGTTCTAGATGTGCAAGTGTCAGTAAGGTATTCTTCGAGCAAACACTGAAAAACAACCCACCATTATTAAGCACAGAAGTGCATACCTTGCTCTGTGTCAACACAGTTAGTAGGGCAGATTTGTAATAAAACCGTGAATAACAATGTCTCACATGGCTTTTATTACCTTTATACGCGTGTTTTCCGGAATCTAGCAACATTATAAAGATTAACCAATGGGGACACGTGATAACCCGTCGTTGCCAACGTGGCACTGTATCTCATTCAGCATTTTGTCGACAAAATATTCGATGCAGTACTTTCCATTTTTACACAATCTGTAGTAAAACATCAACGGCAATATCGTTTCTCCACTGGCACAAAGAAACCGTTAAATGTACTGGACTCTTTTTCCATTTCGCAAACCTGATTTAGCACCGATGACCTAGGTTTACCAATTGCACGAACCCCTGGCACAGTTCACGGATGTTTTCAACTGGGCAGGTCAGAGCATCGGACGAACTAACATCATTCGGCATACCAGCAACACCGGCGATGCTTCGCCACAAAGAACACCCCCGCGACGGATACCCGTGCACTACCGTGCTGACCTGGATAACCTCTACCTCGCACATCTGTCTGGCTGTAATGAGTGAAAGGCCTCAGGCAAACAATTCCGCACGTTAGACGTCGAGCACTGTGCAAGGCTAAAAGGCAGGCTTCACAGACATACCAAACCTGCAGCCACGATCGAAACCTCGCCTGGCAAAAGGAAGCCAGAGGGGAAGTTGTCATTTAAGTAGATCGGCTCTTAGTAATTTGTCACAGTTATAGGAATCCAAAAAGAACAGCAACAACAACAAGACAAAAGTAGGCTGACTCGCCAGCCTACTTTGGTGCGCAAATACCATTTTTACACACAAAACATTCCACAAATGACAAGGTAAAAAAAGTACAATCTGCTATTGTTGTGGCAGATTCTAATGAATACTAAGAAGTACACTGCAATTTTTAAATCATGTTTTTTGTCGCGAAGCCCTGAACTACTGGCTGAGAACTGAAATCTCGAAACAGGACAACTACAACAACATGCCACTTTGCCTTGATCCAAAACCCTAGCAACCGAGTTATTGGACGTCGCAGGTAGTACAGCAAGTTTTATCATGTCTTTACAGTATCAGGGGTGAGTTTACGGCTCACGATTCAAGCCGACTGAATGTAAAACATTACCGCTGTCCTCTTTTAACATACAGAATGCCACTGTCTGAAGTGTCACCTATGTTTGAAGCTTGGACAACTAGTGTGCGCATTAGGAAACGTTTCAATAGCCGGGGCACATACAATCGATCCAAAAGGAACGTCAGCAACCCGAAATTTCGCATAACCAGAAGGCGGTGCAAGGAGATCTGGAGTGTTGGGTTAGCCTTGTAATGGACGAAGAGAGCTGAGACAAATTCCATGACGATACATATCACTTAAAATCAGTTGCCCATTAAAAAAACTCCAATCCGAGTTGTTCACATTTGCGACTGACAACCCCATGGATGCACTAGGAAGCCGTGACACTTGTTCATTACTCATTTGAAAGACCGGCAACACCTGCTGAACAGGAGGGAGGTGGGATCTACGAATGCCTGTCATCAAACGAGCAACCTCGGGGATTCTACGAAAGAATCCAATGACCAAGACAGTGACAATACCTCCTGAGAAGAGGACGCTGAAGTCAGTAAAGACACGGTTGATGGGGATCCAGCATTTGCCAAAACGGCTCATCGTGGGTTAGGGTTTCGTCATTATTTGCACAATTCCCCTAACCACGCCACTTCAGCTGATGAGTTACCCATGGCATCCTACTGACGGCTCGATCTGTGTTAATCCGCGTTGATCCACTAGGGCAAGGTCATCCTGCATTTCGGCACTCGGCCTTTGGCTAAGACAGTAAAAGCTCTCTCCACGAGGTCGTGTCTGACATTAGCGGGGGAAGGTGGGTCTAGCGTCAGGCGAGGGATCTGGGATCTGTGTGGCTTTGGTTGCGAGCAAACGGAACACCGACATTTATCAAACCACCAGCCAAATATTCAAAACGATTTACTTGTGTAGTCGCTACTTGCATGGCTCCCTGCGTGAGTTGTGAGCCGAGGTTAGATCCTCGGATTTCAAACCTGCTCACTCACTGCTACTCAGAGTATTCTTACACCGTTTTGAGACCTAATCAGCCAAATTTTCGCAAATTACTATTTACCCAAAGGGATTTGGACATCTACAACAAATTTTTTCACTCAGTGAACCACCATTTTGCTGAATATAACAAACCAAAAAATCACAACAAATTTCAAAACTGCAAATATTCTTTTCCCAGCACTTCGAAAATGCCAACACACCGGAAGCGAAGTGGGTTTTTTTCTAACTGATTAAATGGATAAACGAGAGCAGAAGCAGCAGAACTACGGCAAAGATTCTGTGAGAAAAGACACGTGAAAAGTTGAAAACAGGCGAGTCAACAGCGTGAGCACACATCACTGGCTGTAACTATGGTGACAAAAGCATAATACAAAGATTTTCACCGTCAACAAGTGATGTTGGCCGAGGCACATAATGTGATTTGGAAGAGGCAAAAGGCCCGCTTGTACTTTCAAGGTAAATTTGAGAGACGAAATTTGCCTGTTACCAAACACCCGCATTTCAAATTACACGCAAATTTTGTTTGATAACCACCCTGTCATACTTTAGACCAGCCAATTGTCCCATTTACCCAAAACCCAACCAAACTAGTACAAAGCACTGCGTTCAAACGGCAACCACATCAACCAACTCGATGTGATTGTGTGTAAAATGGTGACAAGACGGTGAGTATGAAGAGGAATTTAGATGGTCTTACGAAAAGTAGACTAGGCCGTAATTTTATTCGAAAAACTCATTTTAGCTGGCTTTGCAAGAAAATTAAGAATACAAGATATTTAACCTTTGAACTCCATTTCACAGAAGTAATTAAACTAGATGGATGTCGTTTAGACAATAAAGAGACTCGTGCAAGATGGCGATCTTCGAAATGACTGCTTAGATTCAATTTCTTGAGGCACCTAAGCAGTAACAATTCTGTTTACACAAATCGGTGAATTTGAGTCTTTTAGAAAAATCGCAGGCATCCAGCTTCTCAGAATTTGATAACACGACTGAGGCTTGGTGTCATGGCAACACATCGTTAACTCCACACACTTACCGAAGGCATCCATGGCCTCCTCCGAGGGGTCTTCTTTGATGCCTTCCAGGCGGACGGCGGGTTTGCGGCGGCAACGTCGCCTATTGCCATGGCGACTGCGGCCACTGGCGCAGTTGTTGTAATTTCTCGGTGGGCGTACCGCGGCCATTTCGTCGCCCATATCGACGTCCTCGTAGTTGAGGTCATCATCGTCGTCGCCAGAGACTGGACGGTTGTCAAGGGCACCAAGCAACTCGATTTGCTTCCTCTCAGAAAGGGCAATGAAGGCATCCCACACCGCACGAATGCTAAGTGTTGATTAGGAAAAAATGCCCCCTTAAGCGTTTAAAGACTCCTTCAAAAGAAGACACAGAGACGAAATGCGTGAGATTGTAAAATCCAAAGCTTTGCGGATAACTGTACAAACGAATCAACTGCGAAAGACTTTCCAATTTATGACTTGTTGGCGTTTATCATAATGCGTGGCAATAGAATGGCCACCCGTGCTAATCCATTCAGGGCAAACTTGACGGCCACCACTTTAGCGCGCACAACAGCACCGAAGAACACAGAGCAATAACTCAAGAATTATTGGTTTCGAAGGAGTTAGTTTTAATAAAGTTAATAATTCAAGAGTACTACTTTCCATCACTGCTAAAAGAATGGCACAGCAACAGGAATTACAATTTAATTTAAAGGCTACAAGCGTGAAATCAAACTGCCCCATTAACTGTCGACGGAGACAGCCCTCGTTTCCCTAAGTTTTCGCCAATGTCTTCGTTTAGCCCCCAGTTCACATTTTCGACAACTGCTCTTTCCACTTTTCTCTTTACGTCTGTTGAGATGCAGTACAACCATACAGCTAGACCGGCAGGAGTGGATTTGCCCTTCACACAACACAAGAGGCATTTGCCAGACAAACCTCCTCATCGACCAGGTCAGAAAATGGACGAGCACGAACAAAACAATGTGGGGATTAAAAATCACCCTACGCCTACTGAAGTCTAAAGTGATTTGATCGCTCACAAAAAAAATAGCTTATAATAGCCAATGACTTGCTCTTCATCTTCGAATAAACACTTGAACGCAGTGTCATCATTGGTCTTGTCCGGCCAATAATCGTCGGCTTCGTATTCGGCGTCCGCCTCTGTAATCATGACAAGCGAACTCAGGTAGGCCTCTAAAGTTTAAAAACACATTCGGTAATATTTTGCAGCCAGCTCCACCGACTGTCATTACAATGTAGAAAAATTGTCATTTTGATAGAGGCCGGTGATCTGCTCAGCATAAAATGCACTCACAGGTTTCCAATCATATCATTTCTTACTTAGAGCGACAGTCAGAACGAAAAGTAAAGCTGGACTTGAATAGTCATTGACGCTGAAGTCGAGCGAGTAGTACTATTCCCTAAGTATGGCTTTTCAAAAGCATATTTTACGGTGAACGGCTAACCATTTTCATATCGCCGAAGAGCCCTCGAGCCCCTTTTTAGGCGTACCTGCCCCTCGGCAGCCTTGGACAGCTTCTTGCCCCGAAGACGCGGAAGGTAGGGCAGAACAATTGAGATCTCGGAAGCCTCACTTTCAGACGTTCCATCGAAATCCGAGTAGTGATTAAGAGACTGAAGTCTTAAACTGAACAAGAGAATACGGTGTGAGGGTAGAACGAGACGATTCATGTGGATGTTCGGATGAATTATCTCACAAAATTACACTTAGATAACCTGACTGTCATGAGAAGTTAATCCCGAATTGGTGTTTAAGATCTCATCTGGCCCAAGTATCTGGTGGTATCTTGTGCATCTGTCGGCAATAAGCAGGCTATGCTCAAATTCTTGGAAACTTTTCCAAATGAATGCATCTTTTGTCACTGACTAGTGCTACTATAAAAGTTGTCTTCACGAGCCGTCACACACGAACAAGAAAAATATTCGACATTATGACACCCGCGAAAAGTCTCCATCTTTCGGTAAAAAATACCCAAACATGTTGCACAGGCAGATTAGTCGATGCTGTCTGCATTGCCACCTTATCTGGGATCTGATTCGGTGGAACAGGACACTATCACCCAAGTGTCGTCCAAAAATTCGCTTAATCACTTACATCATGGTGGTGTCAAAAATAACTCATTCTAACTATTTCGAGTAACTTTATTGTCAAAATCATCGAGGCGTTTCCGGCAGTCCAGGAGAAAGAGGGCTGTGGTAAAATCGGCGGTGAGCTAGATCTTTTTTGACAAAGCGAAGTCCGAATACTTGCGTTGACATCCCAACGGTAAAATGATGCCCCAAAAATTTTTTTTAGATAACGGTATAGATGTGCTGAGATTTGATTCAACGTGTTAATGAAATTAATCACGGTTCGGGTTAGATTTTAAAAGGAACAGAAAATTATCAACATCAGAAAAATTCGGAAGCTCCCTTTAAGGTTGACGAAGATATGACATTTACAAATAAGGGGGCTATAACAGTAAGACTCCACTATGCAATGTCAACGTGCCTGCATCACAAACAAGGAAGAGAAATCGCAATCATGGTAATGGGAGGACGATTAGTTAGAGACAAGTCCGGCACAGAATCGGCACCGGTTCTGATTTAAATAAATAAAATCCACCAGGTCAAACATTTTAAATGCTATTTGAAAGAGTAGTAAGTCATATTTATAAGAGAATACTGGGAAGTACGAATGCCTTTCTTAAACAAGTAAGTTACAACACTACAACTTGGTGGTTAAAAATCTAAAGATTATGCTTCAGAATTACAATTTGCGACAATGATCAAAATGTAATTTCAACAAAAGTTCAAGCTGTAGCGTTGCTGACTCCTCTAAACAAAAAACGACTCCAAGGTTGCTAATAAATTGCCTTGGTCAAAGCTTCTGTGGAACACCAAAATACTTTACTGTGTGGTTGATAATCACATTGTTAGGTTTAAAAAGGGACTCAGACACGATTGAATGCTATAACAACCACTAAAAATTTGTTTAACTGACCGAAATACGATATCGTTACCCAAAATTTATTACAGAAGAGCTGAAAGAATATTTATTTAATAAAAAAATTTGGACTTGCGTTTGAAATCAATGTCCTATATAGCCAGAACGGTAGCAAACAAGGGGCTATCACAAATAGCAGTAAAACATTAGTACACTGAACTATGGCCATAGCATTTCTGGGAGGACTCCAAAATGTAAATTAGTTGTTATGAGATACCGTCTATATATCCAAGCACATTCTGCACAAGGAACGAAGTTTGAAGAACAGTTACGCAATTAAGTTAATAATCCTGCTGTTAACTGCCAAACGCAAAATGCCTTGAAGGTATTGATGGCAGTCTAAAGTTACCGAAGCGAATGCCTTAAATACTCGGGTGAATTGTGCATTATACACACTTGTAGGTCGTTACCAACAAGTACTTTCACCATGAATGGCAAAAGCACCGAGCTAAAACAGCACAGACAAGAAACATTTGTAGACTAAAGGGGTTGCGCATTTAATGGAGTATATCACACCTAGAAGAGAATTTTGGGGAGTTATGGGAAATAAAAATAGTCAAGACGATGACGGCAATAATCGCGTCATGAGAAAATCAGCGCATGCCAGCAATATCGTGGACCAAAGAATAAAACTCTTAGAAAATGTTTCATAGCATGCAACGATTTTTGAGTTAATTGACATTATCTAAAGAAAGGCATACTTTAATTTACCGAAGACCGTTAGTTGGGTGGACAAGTATGTTACACGCAGTACCTAATTAAATTAATGAGTGTTCGGTGGCAAGTATATTAAACGATAACATCATTAGATCCTCATAATTTAACAAATTAGTAAAAGAGGAGCATGCCCCAGAGAAATATAAGATCACTCGCCAATCTCGACTTCTAAAATTACCTCATCAAAGGAAACGAAGGGGAAAGCTACGATTGGATACAGAATAATTTTATGCAGTCGCGATTTCTTGAACAATTACAAACAAATCCCATTCGAAGGACAGAAGCCACAACCAAAAAATTAATTCTTTTATCCAAACAGGGCCATAAATACTGCTGTTTATGCTTCACCAACATTATTCTTACAATTAGTTTACACAAAAAAGTTTAAAATACCTCTTTAATCATGCAATTTGGATTATTTCGGGTTCAAATCATCGCACATCTAATTACCCGATTTTATATGCACGCACATGCATAAATAAGTTAGTAACACGTGACGAAAATAATTTTTAAAAATTAAAACTTATCAAGTATTGTGAAAACCACGGCTCCTTACAGAATAATTCTGACATACATTTCAAATTTACATATTGGTGATTCATAAGATTTCTATAGCAATTCATAGTCTGAACTCTCTTATTGAATGAACTCTTCAGAAATTTAAGATCGCCTACAAAAAATCCTGCAATTGTATGCTTTGTAATATTGGCTTTCATATTTAAAAGGGTTTCATTGGAAAATGCTTTGAAAAAAAAATCAATTTGCATCCCCATTCATCAACTGTAAGCACGTTTCTATATTATTCCACAGATTATGGATGCCAACAGCAGTATTGAATTTGTTGGAACCTATACATTAGTTTCGATATTCATTTTTCTTCGAAAGATTTGAAGCCGATTAGCTACCCAGTTAAAATAAGGTTATTAATCTAGAAATGTGCTTCATGAAATACTTCATTGCTTTTTTCCAATAACCAATAATTTTTTTTGAATTGATCGAACAAATTTAACGCCAAAGCTTGTCTCACCCCACTGACGAAATTAACAGCGATTTTGCGTGCCTGCAATTAACTAGAACGAAACATTCAAGTAAACCGAAAAAGTGACATAATTTCTCTGATCCACTCCATAGTTTGAAAAAATTGGTTGGCATCAATAGTATAAAGCAGTGTATATTAAATTTGATTTTACCTGTAAAAAGCAATTTGTATTAAATATTACAGGTGTTTTAATATTGCTGCACACAGCCAAAGAATTTTAAAACTACTACCGCAAGTGAAAAAGTAAAAAAATAGGGTACACTTCTGCAAAATTTAAATTGCAAACTCAATATGATTATTGGTTCTTCACAAGGCAACTTAACATGCGCAAGGAGTACACGGTTAACCACGTCGAGAACGTTTCTCGTTAATGGATTATACAAAATGTCAGTTCTATCCTCACAATTAAGGTTTTGCTCTTGTATACGATTTACGACTCATGAAGTTGTAGACGCAAAATTTATTATTTATACGCTACCACATAATGCCAAAACATTTTGAATACTGTGCTATTCAGAATTCATGTCTATCAGCTACAATGCCTCTACAAAAAACTGCTTTTTTTCCTATAAATTAATAAATACAAGCGTTAGAATTAGCTAGCGCCAATCCTTTACATAGAAAAATAACACAATATTCGAAGATTGGAAGTACTGTGGATAATTATTGGAACTCTAACTATTCATACTACGATTTAGTCCATGACAAACCGACCAAAATTATTCGAGTTAAACCACTGTAAGTTTTAGTATTTGTCTCTAAGTTGACCTGTTTCGTAAAGTCGGCATGGAAGCAAAACTAGACAATCATGACGACTCAAATCGTCATGGCTGCGTATGTACTCATTTTGTTAACTTCCTTTGTCAAGCACGCCAATTAACACACATTGTACCATTCGATACCTAAGAACTGCTTAATTCCAACTAAGAAGATACAGCTCGAAGAACAGGACAGCAATCTTTACATCAGTGACTGTTTGGCCTATTAACATTCAATAATCGCCACAAAAATAAAACCCATGAATGTGCACAGGATGTAGTTCACGTGTGGCCGATCGACTATGGGAGTTTAATATATGCACACAATTGGCTTGCAAAATTCATTATGCCTCTTTGTCCTACCTTTGCTTGCACATCCCACTAATGGGCTTGTGCATTATGCAATAATTAGTTCCTAAACATAAAACTAACAATGTAAGCACTTTCGTCCACAAACCTGAATAAAAATTGCTATATAAATGACCGCGTGCGGAACTGCCTTAATTATTATAGTTTTGCAAAAAATTGCACGTGAAAATGGTCCTTACTATTAATGTTGCATAACCTAAGCCTTTAATTTAGGTATTCCAAAAACGAATTCATGCAAAAACTAAAATGTTTGAATACCTATCCAAAAAAGCGTTTTAATAATCACAAAATGCCTAAATAAAATATTTTGGTAAAAAATGCCATTGTGGTTGTCAAGATTGCTGTTTAGTGTTATTTGTTTAGAAGATGATAATGTTGTTTCACTGTTCTAGTAATCACAAGTAGTTTCGGTTTTCGTCAGGTTTATGGTCTCAAGATTTAGGATGTCTCAAGGTGGTTCTTCGCGGTTCTTCGATCCGAATGTTTTGCTTCGCTTCCAAGATATGTAAGCCATTTTGTGCAATTTGAGTCTCCCTAAAGAATTCGAATTCCCACTCTACTTTGCCGCTAATAAATTGCTTTTCAGTTGATGCATTGTACTTTCCGCTGCCCTGATTGTGTATTAGATACTTTATAAGATTCTGTCCTGTGGATTTGTTCGTAGTTGAAGCCTGTTAGTCTTATAGGTTATTGTCCATGGTTTTTATAAAAGTCATTCGAGAAAATTAAAATGCTTTTCGCTCACATTCCCTATTCGTGCACCATAAGATTCTGTTCTAAATGCACTATTTTACTAAATCAATTTTGTTTTTTTAGAGAGAAGCCAGTACAAATTCATCTAAAAAATGTTTATAGTCTTCTGTCAGTTGGTTTAATCGCGGCAACGATTGGAGCCTATGTTTTCACATTCTCTCCATTTATTCAGGTATGTTTGTTCTTTTGCCTTTTAGACTATGCTAGATATCGAGTAAGTCAGAAATCACGCGTGCTACAGTTTTCACGGCGAATCATATCACTGATACATTTTATGTTTATTACGACTTTTTATCTGAATTACTTATCCTAATACCTAGGTATAAATTCCGACTTGTTTTTGTTAAATATCTAGACATACGCCTTCGGCCTTCTACTGCTGTCGGCTCTTGCTTCAATCGCTTCTTGCTGCTACATTATGTTTACGCAACACACAGAATCACAACTGTGGAATAGGGTGGTCGCCTTTCTAATTTTCACATTTTCTTCAGGTACGTTTTAAGTACTTCACTTATTTCATTGTTCACATAATTTAAGAGTCATAAATTGCCACTTAGAATTGTGTCCTCACAGTCATTAACACTTGCCGTTTAATACTTCTGCAGACATTTTGAATACTGTTAGCGGTAGTAACTTGATGCCTACTATTCCGTTCATTTCACGGTAGTTCAGATACCAAAGGCCACGTGTCTAAACTGGCTTTCATTTGTTTCGGTCCCTCGCACAACTATGTTTTCGTTGTTTCGTCTGCCCAATGTCATAGGAATTGAGGGGAACTAAGTTTACTCGTTTAAGTAAGCTGCCGGAACCCTCCAAATAACCTAGACTTGGCCCCTGTTAAACTCGTCACTTTTTATTGTCTTGATCAGGCATTGGGCTTGGACCTCTGGTGAATTTTGCTATCCACGTCAACCCATCAACGTTACCAGCTGCTCTTTTGGGGACCGCCATTATTTTCGTCGCCTTTTCCCTCGCGTCTTTGTTGACGCGTAAGCGCTATTTCGTCTACCTTGGTGGTAAGTTCAGTTTTGTGTTTGACCGTGTGAATTTCCCGATTACCTAAGATACCCAGTGTAGTAAAGCTAAAATTGTGTCAAGGCATACATTTCTTGATCAGCTCTTTCGATTTATTCAAACCATTCACCATTTTTGACTGGTACTCGTGCTGCCTATTGTTCCGTGTAATTAAAATCTGTCAAATAAACAGTGCATATCTTTGTTCGCGTTGTGGGTGTGAACTTTTTGACGGATCCTAACATCACGGATTTTATGCGTACAGGTATTCTTGGGACAGCCATTGGCGTCATCTCCACCTTCGGACTGATGAATATTTTTTTGCGATCACAAGCGCTGTTTCAGGCTGAGCTGTATCTTTCATTTGTCATTTTTTGCGCTTTCGTCGTCTACGATACCCAACTGATTGTTTTCAAGCGTCAATTAGGCGACACCGACTTCGTTAGGTAAGCTTTATGCCCTGTTGTATCATGCATGCGAAGGTTTGTTCAGGTTTATTTTTTCGCATTTTTCCCCTGTAAAATTACAAACATTTGGGTCTATCGGATAAAAGGTCACATTTGGAACTCCGTTTTCCCCATAGCCTTTGTTGGTCATGTCAATTTTCACTAATTACAATTTCTAGTATTCTAAGTTATCCAGATGTTCAGAACATGATATTTCCAAGAAATGTATGTTTAAATTGTTTGACGTCTCAGCAGTACTAGTGGCTATATTTAACAGTATTCTAAAATAGTGAGTAAAGACTTTTTTTGCAAAGAATTGCCTTTAATGTTTTTTGTCAAATCTTTGCGGTGTCACCTCGTAGTCTTTTCGTTTCGAATAATAATTAGCCCAGCTAAAAGCAGACAGTAACTTTGTAACAACCTTTCAAAAATTGACTAATCCATAAGATCTGTTTCCTAGGTCGCAAATTCCATGTATACGTGATTTTTAAGACCCGCAATATGCTATCAACCTAGTTTCGTGACTTGTTTGCACATACCTCACGAATTACAAAACCTTAGATGTGTTAAGCTCGAAGCGAGGGACCTTTTCGGCCTACTCTGCTCGATTAATTCTAGTCATGTTTACTTCTCGAAGACGTTATACTTCCTCGAATGGGTGTGTTTTTCACACAACTGGATGTACGCTAACTGCCATTATCTGATTCTGGAGCAAGGTCCACTGAATTTAAATGTTGCAGTTTACGAGGTCATCTGTGCATTATCACGAATCTTGTATGTAATGGCAATCTAATTGGAAGAACCGCATCCACTAAAGTGCTGTCATACCCAACAGCTCGGTGACACTGCCGTAAATTTATTCCGCCATAGTTTTACCTGCTTTAACGTATTGAGGTGTTAAATAATCGTTTTTGCATTATCGACTGGCGATTCACCCTTGCATATGAGCTTTTCTTTTCAATCTTTGTCTACACATTTCTGATAAGCAAATTGTTTTCCTGATGCTGTTAAAAACGGTTAGCTACGCATCTAAATTTTAGGCATGCACTGGATCTTTTTGTTGATGTCATCGAGTTATTCCGTCATCTTCTGATTATTCTCAACTCTAAAAGGGTAAAGTTCTCTCCCTAATTTTCCCCTATTTTTGTGTTAGGTTATGATGAATCATATTTTCCCTACTGTGATTAGTGCCTTTCATTTGCTACAACACGGTGACATTTATTACATGGCTGCTTGTTGTTTTGTATGAAACATGTTCCAGGTCACCGTAAGTGCAAGTATGTTTTATTGCGCCCAACGTCCTTGGCCGCTTGTTTATCTTTAGCTCTGTGTTGATATTTTTCAGGAACGTGAACGCCGCGAGTGATGAAGGGGTCACTGCACTAAGAGATCGATGCATTACTGCGTGGCTTTGGGTCCTATTATATGTCAATGACCTTTAGTGTTCATAGACTACACCATTTCATCTCGCTTGCAAACATTTCAGTCTAAAAAATTTGTTTCTTTTTTCCATAAATCCTCTTTTTGAAATCCTTTGGGTGATTTCTAAGTAGGGCTATTTTACGTTTTGGATTCTGCTAGTTTTGTTTTTGGGGTTGGCTGTTATGTACAAGGGCAAACATGTTTATCATTTTGTTGCTGCTGCTGGCACACAGATGCGAAACCTCGCGCGCAGGTAACCGACCCTCCACTGTTAGCACGTGAAAGGCTTCCCACGCTAGCACTCCGACTGAACAGGAATGAGTTGCCTCCCCCCAAACTAGGACATTGCAGAGCCTTATGACAGTGGCTGTCGCTGTCTCAGCCAACGGTCAAGTGCACCTTCAAATGCGCCCACTTGTGCATGGTCCGGGAGGTCTTGAGTGCGAGTAAAAGTACGCTTAAGGTGGAAATGCCAACAGGAGCTCTGGGGTTGGCTTGTATAAACAGTAATGTAGGAAAAGGTTGTGAAAATCTGGAAAGATCGGATCTCGGGAATGCTGAATTCCCAACCGTATTTGGCGGTTGGACTGGGTATGGTTCGAATCGGCGATGCCGTAGAAGATAAAGATGGGCACATTTCGGTATTTGCGCCGACCGTATGGAATCTCAGCTCAACGTTGAACGGAAATGTCGGCCGTAAATGCAGCAGAACTTTAGTGTGTCAGGACTCTGTAGTAAATAAACGTCACAATTCAAAGCTAAAATAAAAATTCGACCAGATTGGGCATTCGTAGAAAAACTACGGGTCGAAATAAACTGAAACTTTGGTTACTTACGTTATTTTCAGTCCCAACGCTCTACGAGGTTCCAAGCGTCTACTTCCTGAGCGTACGCGCTGGGATTATTTGTAGTTCCACCGTGGACTTTTTTTTCAAAAACAGGCAAAATAGACTGGCTTTTAAATATACTGTGGAACAGGGTCCCTTACCGATCATCAGCCACTCCAGTCCACTTCACTGGCTGGCCTTGTATCGCGTCTACTTGGCGGGGACCTAAAAGAGTTAGATACTATTATTCTGTCCCTCAGGGATAGCCATACCATCAGGGTTGACTACCAAATATGCAAAATAAGAATAATAGAAGGATTCTGATGTTTTAGACTAACGTATACAAAGGCAGGGGGGCCAGTATGGGAATCTGGAGAGAGGGTTAGGGCTTACAAGCTGAACCATAATGAAGGCTTGTGGAAGACAGGAGGACAAAGAAAGGGCCTGACTGCTGTGCAATTATCGACTTGCATTCGTCACAGCCTGCCACTATATGGATGTCACCCATTTATCCTTGTCTCTAGTTGGATGATAATGTCAATAGTAAGCAAGTAACACAATTAAGCCAGGCACGGAGCTGGCTTAAGTTCCTGTGATGCTTCAATACATCTGCGGCCTATGCCTCCCTCTAACGCCGGAAACTATTTTCTGTTATTGGTTTAGTTTCTTTCACAGTAACCGTAAGGTTAAATGACGAAAATCATCCCAAACATGATGGGCAAATGGCTCATGTTCATAGCTAGTGACTAATCATATTACTACAGTTAACTTGAAAAGCATAACGTCATTTCTTGTAAGTGTCTCATGTGCATACCTCCAAATTGGATCCTGAATCACCTAATGACTTTTCTGACTTGCCAATACCGTGACAAAATCAGTCGTATAAATCCTAGAAATGTAGATTCATTTCCTGATTGGAAAATCAGTTTGACTGCAACAAAAAATTCAGTCGGCCTAATGCGTTATAAGGAGATGAGCGAAAAATTTAATCGCCTTAGTTAGCCACCGCCTCTATCGAACAAAGGCTGGAAGGAAAAGTCAGGGATTGGGTTCGTGTGAATACGTCGCATCCTTTGGAACGACCATATAACACCGAAAGTCTAGTGGAAAGAGGCTAAAGGAGTATGCATTTAAAATTTGGGCTTGCGGATCCAAAACGTTTCAGATATAACTAGTCTTGAGATTTTATCTGGTTATGTGGATTAAATAACTTCTACTTTAGTCTGCTTCGATATTTGAAAAACAAAATGATATAATATTAGACAAATCGGAGTACATAAATGGCATTTAGTTTTTGATTTAAATCCTTTAATAGTGTTGATAGGTTTCGAAGTCATTATTTTTTCGAACCAAACGAAAAGAATAAGCGGCGATTATTGGTTAATAATAATTCCGCTCAATTTAAAATTTCTAAGATGTGCTCAGATCTTGATTGCATCCGTGTGATCGTGCATAGGTGCATGAAAATGGTTTGATGATTTGTGAATATTTATTTTTTCTAGCATCAATACCGTTCCGCTGTATTCTGGGCTGATAAGATGGTTCATTTATCCAATGGTTTTACCGTTTCTTCCTTTATTGTCTTGTGTAGGTAGCGTCAATGACACCCTTCTACTTGCGGAGGTTTTATTTAACTCAGGACAATACCACAGGACAATAGCTTTATTAAGTAATAATGATACAGTACGAGTTAAGTCTCTATTCTATTTCATGGTTGCTGTTGCAGGAGGGTGTGTATGCACGTTTTCTCATTGCTCAGTGTTATTTTAAATGCAATGAGTTCCTTCAAGCTCTTAGCATTTTGGATAACTTGGACATTTTCCAACATGCCTCCTCAAAACTGACGTCTAGTTCTTTTATCGCTTTCCAACCTCGTGATGGCAAATTGGATCGTCCTCAGGATTGCGACCAGTTTAGTGTTTCAGATTCTGAATATCTGCCTGAAGGCATCACAATCTCAAATGTAATTCACTTTTTTAGTGAAACTATCATTCTTTTAGTTAAACAGTAGTATTGCTCTGTTGAAAGGCTTTGTCAATGAGGCATTAAATAACATACCCCTGGCTGTTTATTGGTACAAAGAAGCATTCCGGTTGGATTCCTTTTGCTATGAAGCTTTTGAGAAATTAGTGAAACTTGAAGCCTTCTCATCTGATGGTTTGGTGGTTTTGTTTGCTGAAATTTAGATGAAAAATTGCTATCAAAGTGTGATTTTCCAGGATTGTCACCTGCTTTCGTGCCTGCGACGAGATCCTTGCTGTTGAATAAAATCCCGAAATCGGTCTTTGTGGAGCTTCCGCCTGAGATGGAACCTTTAAAAAATAGTGTAGATACCTTGATTGCGCAGGCCGAACGTTTTCTGTCTATTAATCATTACAGAAGGTGTTATGAAATAACTTCATTGTAAATTCAAGTTAAATGTGTATTGTCATTCTGATGTAGAATTCTCAAGCATGATCCATTGAATCCAGAATGTCTACCAATACATGTCTCAGTATTACGCATGCTAAACAAATCTAACGGTAAACTTACTGACGGTCTTACTAGTTTTTAGATTTGTTTATGCTCGCTAATCAATTGGTAAGAATCTTTCCAAATTGCGCAGTAAGTACAGTCATTCTAATCTACTATCGCAAAGATATCCTGGTTTGCTACGGGTTCTTACTACCTATCAACTAGAAAGCACGATTTGGCGAAGCGACATCTCCGGTAAGCCCTTCGTTTCCACTTGCTTTAAAGTGCCTTGTATCCTTTTGTATTTGGGGACCCCACTATTGGGCCTCTGCGACTGTGAAATTTTTTCACTACTAAATTTTACTGGTTCCTGTATTTCTTGTGTGTGAAGACATTTGCTTGGGGTGGAGTCGCAGACAGGATCCAACCAAATACCACTTTTGGCAAAAGGGCCGGATTTCAAACTTTAAATCTTGATTTCGATGCTTTTTTAATATGTGTGCCCACTAGTTGTTTGCTTAGACTAAAGTCGAATTGTTTTAAATTGCATATTATGTAGGAATATTCATTTATTTTTGATATTTGACATGTCAGGGGATAGGTAGCGTTGTGTTACGTTTGCCCGTAATAAAATAGAAGACCACTCAAATAACGGTTTCTCCAAAAGTAAGGTCGAGTGAGGATTTGGGGAGGATAGCGTCTGTGTATCTCTTCAATTCGGCTGCGCCCAGTTTGCGGGTAAGGAGTCTGACTTTCCATGCGTCATCCTGGGACGCGAGATCGACTCGGAACAGGTCTTCGTAACGACGATACCAGGACCCAAACGTTAAGACGTTCTCCGGATCATAGGAAAACTGGCAGGAGCGGCCTGAGACGACTGGCGATCTGCCAGCATTAACACTAGCCGCTCGAATAATCGTTCCATCCCTATGTCACTCATCACAAGAAAAATCTCACCTGCGTCGCCACATTTTGTTACATTGTGGTTTAGAATTAGACGTAACTGGCGCTTAACGCTGCATAATTGCTACCTTTTTCGTGTAGAAAACAGGTGTATGTCAGCCTCAAATCTGGCTGATAATTCCTGCTCAAAATCGTCAACTGTCGTGCAATCTGCTTTTTCTGCTAGCAGAAACGACTGCCCATATTTACTTAACCGTGCATAACTTTGTATATGCATTTTCGCTAAAACCCAGTGATTTTCGCCTCGACTAAGTGGGTGGGTGTAATATTGCTCATAAAGTCGAACTTGGGTTTCTTGAAATCTACTTTCTCTGTATGCTGCTTTTTCCAGCAAAGCGACTCAACAAGATCGAAGATTTGGACCTGCCTGGCTTGCACTGGGACATGCCTATGCTGCCGACAGCGAGCACGATCAAGCCATCGCTGCTTACTGCACAGCCGCCCAAATAGTTCGACAGTACGTTCGCATTACTTCACAACGCCTCCCCCCCCCACGTGACGTGGTAGGCAACCATTCAAGGTTCTAGCTGGTTATAAAACAGCATCTTACGTATCAGTTGTTGATGTGAAAGAAGGGTCATTTAATTTGCCGTCTGGTGTCGGCTCCGTGGCTTTCAGTAAAGAAAAAGCATTGACAGAATGTCATAATCCCCTGAAATACCATCACATATTTGCTTTATTAAGTCGTATAAGTATCGCCACTAGAGCAATTTAGCATAGTAAATTTGGGATTGTCTGAGTAGAAATTCATTTCACCCCACTTCCATCTACCCTTACTTCGGTCTAATTGTTGAACCGACAGTTAGTCTCCTGGTGTATCATTTAATGCTTCTAAACCCCTGCCATGTTTAGCTCTCACGTGCCCATGATGTACATTGGCGTTGAGTACAGTTCAAGTGGGAATCACTCGCTAGCGGAGCGGTTTATGCAGCACGCCCTCCAGCGCAGTCCCTCGGATCCCGCTATTCTCCACGAACTCGGCAGCCTCGCGCTGAATCTCAAACGGTTTGTCTTGCGCTTTGCGCACCTGTGAACCCTGTAATCTTGAGTCTCCCGAACGTGGAGTAAATTTAGTGTAACATCTACCACCACTTACTTTTAGATGACTTCTGTTCCCCCATCAAACATGCCTTGTCAAGTGCCTGGGTGTGATGCATCTGTAGATCTGGTTCTTCCATTAACGGAATCTGCTTGGTTGTATTTCGTTGTAGGTACAACAAGGCACTGAAACTGCTCAAGCAGGCCTATGTTAACATTTCTCAACTCAGCGGACAAGTCCTCGCCCCTTACTGGGAGCCACTGCTCAATAACCTGGGACATGCCTACAGGGAGCTGGGGTTAGTTCTGTCCCTTGATTTCCTGCCTTCAACCTCTACGCTAAATGCCCTCATCCCACTCAATGCGTGCTTGTTTTCCTCTGCTACGTCGAGCAGGTTTAACCTCTAGAACCTAAAGCCTGGGCATTAAACGATGCTCAATATGTCTTGCTAAGTGATATTTTGCTCGTATTTGGCCTCACGGTCAGTCATATTGTCCACGTGACAGGAGTCTTTAACTCGTACCGAATGCAGTTGATCTGCGCCTTCTACGGAGTGTTTTTCTTTGCGTTGTGCAGTAATTACGAAGAAGCTCTGAAAATGCATTCCGCCGCACTCGGCCTGGTTGAAAACTCGCCCACCACACTGGAGTCGATTGGCCTGATCTACGCCCAGATGGGTCGCTACGAGGAGGCGATTCGCGCCTTCCAAACGGCCCTGGCACTTCACCCCTCGCTCAGTGACACGGCCCTCGCCACGGAGATGCTCGACATCTGCATGCGCGAGTACGCAAGGAGTCTTGAGCCACCAGCAGCATCTTCTGCCACGGCAGTCAAGCCGCCGCCTCTCGGAAGAGGTGGGTTGTTGTTGTTGTTGTTGTTGTTTGGGGGTCCGTCATTGATCTGCAGGGGAGAATGACAGGCTGGGCGCTCCTACACAGGCCATCAGAATCACTTGGAAAGTTCACCTCTCGGTTTATAAGGTCTTAGAGCGTTTGGGATCTGCTACCATCATGCGTGTCACCGTCAGACGTAGTTGATCGACTCCAATGCCCAGGAATACTCTGTACCCCGGACATATTAGGTGTATCACTTCATTTTACTGATTTAGCAAATTTATTTAATATTAAAAAAGTTAATCCTGGGACTATTGTCCATCTGCGAAAGTGCGCCATCTCTCAGGTAACATACGAATGCCATCACGAAAGAAACTTGCAGGCTTCGAGGCAATCAAGTCATCATCGACGAATTTATGCACATAGTCTGGTGTTTAGTAACTGTCAACCACGAAGGCGTGCTGCTGCTACATTGATCATGCCTCCCACCAGATACTCAGAAGAACCTTCTTCAAATGGATGTCCTGTTTCGGCGTCTACGTACTACTGGGTTTCCCTGGATCCACCCGCGACAGCTTGTTGCGTTTGGGATTATTGTCAAAGCTATACCTATCGTCACTCGCCATAATTATCCATAACAACAGTTCTACGTCCACCTAGGAGGTTGTGTTCGGTCAACACATGTGGGGGACCCGACTTCCAAGTTCTTGAATTCTTCCAACTTGGTTGTGCAAACGCTTGGAGATAACTGCTTAGGTGACTCCAAAGTGAGCTGCTGCAAGCACGTGTTGCGTTTGCGTTGAGTCTTTAGCCAGTGGAGCTTGCAATTTCGCATCTTCAAGCCTTCGGGGCTGCTGTCCAGGGTGAGACGGCTGGTCACTAAGATCGAGATCACCACGTCTAGAGCGTTTGTACCAATAACTACACGTTTTATAAGGCACAACATTGGCACCGACACCAAGAACACTTCACATGGATCCTCCCCGTGCTCTAGAAGCAGCGTTTCCTTCTTGGAAGTCGCATAAAATTCAGTGCCACCGAATGTGCTGTTTATCAGTTGCCACTGTCGTAAACACTGCTATTGTGAGAAGTGCTGTAACTCGCGTTGACTTGTCGTTCGGTGTTCCGAAACCTTGTGTGCGATCCTTTCAAAACCCCAAAAGACTGCGAAAATGTTGCCATTTTTAAAAACAACTTTAAGCATGAAGAAGAAATCTGTAAAGTTTATTTACACGCCTAATGCCTACTCCACGCCTCAACCCCTCTTAGTTCGATTTGCTTGAAGTTCCTTTGCGCTCTAAGTAAACCTCATCTCAATTTCCCTCCCTTGATAGACATTGACGGAAGCCCCTCAATCACGAGTTTTCGACTGCAAAGCTTACTCGATGATCAACCCTCACTTCAAACTGTCTCTGGGATTCCCTCCATCAAGGACGATCTTGACGTATTTCAAGCTGGGACATCACTACCTCAAAAAGCCTCTTGTTCTACTCCGTCCGCTGCCATTGATGATGATGTATCCATGGAGCTCGACTAGGCCCGCCCTATTTTTGTTAAAGAATCTGTTTTCGAATTGTCCTAACATTATATATATATATATATTTCACCGAATACAGTCACTTTTATAAAAGCGTACAGGAATGGTTAATCTCCTCCCATTATTAAGTACACCTTAGTTTTCAACCAGGCTCGATAAATGCCAACCTCGTTTGAGGTTTTCCATCAGTATAATTGGTTAAATGTCCCGTTTGAGTAAAGGCAACAGTAGTGGTCACCTGATGGTAACAAAGTGCCAGGCGTAATTCAACACAACCATGCGGATGCTGCATTAGTGGACTTGACTACAAGAGAAGTGTCGGATTTTGCTGATGTAAGTGTAACCCTTTGCTCAGATCCTCCACATGCGTTTAGCGGTAGTTCGTGGTTCTTGATCTCCACCTGTTGTCGATCGGCGCCCTGGTGGGACAAGCCTGTTCCCTGTTAGTCGCTGTCGCCCACGTGATTGGTCTGTCATCCCCAGCAAGGCTTGAGAACACTGACTTGTGTCCCTCTTGAAGCAGCTGCTGGTGGTTGACACTAGGGTTGGCGTGTCACCGTCTTCACTAAACTTGACGAGCGACTCCGTCATCACTGGCGTGGAGTTAGTGTTGCCTAATTTATTATCCTGGTCGCCTGGGCCCATGTAGGCCTTATTATTGAATTGAATCGACGGCGAATCATCTCCACGTTGGGCTCCTCGAATTTGACTCTCACATCGATTTCTGGTTGAAGGCGCCTTCTCGTTGATTTTTAGCGGTTTTTCTGGAATCCGCACGCGATTGCTATTGCTAGAATACTGATTACTTCCTGAATGACCCGCGAGACCTTTCTTGTCTTTCAGGATTCCCTGTTTAATTTTCTCGGCCCTTGGAGTCTCCTCCTCCTCCTCGTCATTACTTCCCTCAAGTAAATTGCAGTAGTCTGCAATGATATTCTCCAGTTCTTCCCTCGCATCCACAAGTTCCGCCTCCTCCAGGCCTTCGCCCACGAACCAGTGCAGAAATGCGCACTTTTTGAAGAGCTTGTCGAATCCATCCTTAACCCAGTACATCGGCTCCACTACGGCCACATTCCCAGCAACCATGCACACCGACGTTGGCACTGTAGCCATAGGCGAACTCGGTATTGTCATTAACGGGAAAGTATTGATGCCGATTTTGAAGGATGACGGACACCAGTCCACAAAGCTATTCAGCAGTCGCGAGTTCGCGGTGGACTTGATTTCTTGGATAGCTCTGTTTATCGCAGCAGGCATCGTCACACCGCGAAATAGCAATGCACACGAGATGAACTGTTTCTTCTCAATTTTGCAATCCAACGTGACGGCTTTCTGCGAGAAGACTCTGTGCGTCAATTCGCGCATGCAGTTTGTCTCGTGGTGCTGTGTCGCCTTTGAGAAGAGCGGACTGCTACAGACTAGGGGAAAGTGGATCCGAGGGAAGGGCACGAGGTTGGTAAGGAGTTCAGTGATGTCGGCGTGTTGTGATCCCATGTATGAGAAGCGATGCGAGAGGAAAACGGAGCTGAGCGCGGTGGCAGTGAAACGATTCAGTGTGTTGTAGGTTGGTTTTTCAACCTCCAGCTGGTTTAGACAGCGGTCAGAGAGTGCCTTGTTGTCCATTAGTAGACAACAGTCAAACGTCTGCACGGTTGCATTCGTGAGCAGAGTGGCGTTGTAAGGATCTACTGTAGACTGCGAGTACACAGCGGAGGGATAAACTGAGGTGGAGAATCGAAACTTCTTGCAATAATTGTCCGCCAGGTATTCCGCGAGGAGGGCTGTCAGCCCAGATCCTGTTCCACCGGCGAACGAATGAACCATGTTGAAGGCAAAAATGCTGTCAGACCTCTCTTCGAATTTGTGAAGTCCCTCCGACAGTCTACAGAGCATTTCTTTGCCAATGTTGACGTAGGCACGGGCATAGTTGCCCGCGGCGTCCTCCTTTCCCGTCAGTAAGGCGTTCCTGTTCCACATCTGCTTGTAGGGTCCAACGCGTATTTCATCTGTGCATCAGTAGTGGAAAAAGAGATCATTGAAGCACTGGCATTCTCACACACTTTTGCACCTGGCGCACATCACAAGTGAACCCGCGGTAGACAGCAGTGGTCGATAATGGACCTGTTTAACTTTGTGGTTTTATGTCGCTTTTTTGACTAACCTTAGACCTACTTTTAATTGACCCCCAAAATTTATTTATGCAGCAGGTGAATCAGACATTCGTAAGGAAAGCTCATGTCTGGGGCACGCGATATACTATTCCATAGACAAGATTGGTTTTCATCTAAGTGACTGTGTCTTCTTTGTGGTATTTTTTGGTCATTACAGGCGTTACTTATATCCCGAAGGTTTCCTGACTAAATTTGTCTGTTCCAAGGCAGTACCCAAATTCTTTCTACGTTAATCTGTCTACTACTGACTCATGAGTGGTTGGTCCAATCTGTCAGTCAATTCGGTATCAATTTTAAGTCAGAAATCGAGTGATGTGCTTCTTAAATATGCACTCCGAAGCAATACTTTGTCAAGTCACATTAGCACACTGACAAAGACATGGCAGGAACATGGCAATAATTATTGGTCCTTACCGATTACTGTTGGTTCCAGATCCACCAAGATGGCGCGAGGAATGTACCTGCCTCGTACTTCGCAGAAAAGGGACTCTATTTCCTCGCCAACTTGGGGTCCATTTTCTAGGTTCCTGTTACCCATTTCATCCAGTGCGTGTTCGTACGCCAGCAGCTCCCACATCGCGCTGCCCATCTGAACTCCACACTGACCCAAATGAATCGTGACGATTTCTCGCATCACTCTGGTGCTTTTGTGCTAAGTCACCTTTTTTTACATGAACCCTCCCGACACTCTGATGGACTGTTTGAAAAGTGACAGGCCAATCGATAAGGAAGGGTTCACACGAGGGTGTCTCATGACTTGAAAACGCGGAATTCCGCTCCACGAACCTTTATTGGTCCTGCATGTCGTGGCCAGTTTGAAATGCCCCCCGTTTTACCCACGCTAAAGTTGAATTAGTCTTTGATTTTTGCCTTATTTAGCTCCCTGTTGGGCTGTATTTTTTAGATATCACTCGTTACCATTCCTTGTATTGTGTGAGATATTGCTTTAGCCGACTCCATGGCTCGCATGCACCGTTCGGGAGCGCTTTTGTGCCATCCATTTCAGCAAATAATCATTATTTGTTGCATGTTGCTAGTCAAGTGTTAGTGACTAAAAATTTGACGCAATTTTCCTGAGATTCTTGTAATGTTTGCTACTTAACCCTGTAAAATGCAATTTCACTAATTTGTGATTGAGTGCATCTCTATATGTACCACAACTTGGTAAAAATTCAAGGCTTATTTAGGTAAAAAATCTTAGTCGGACATGCATCTACAATAAGAGAAGCATGCTCATTTTTATTAGCTTTCATAGTCTTTTATTTCTTGCGGATGGAGGTGATCACCTTTTAGTTATCATAGGGAACTGCAGACTAGTATGCTAAAAAACGACCCGCAAATAGTGTGATTCATAATTGTTTAACCGTTTTTGACCTTTTTCTCGGGCTGCACAGCAAGCGCATTTGGTGTTTAGCATTTGGGATTTACAAAGGATGTCGATTTGCTTCAACAAACTGGATTTAAATGGCTCCATTTATTCAAATAAGGCAAATCTGTATGCATTTTTTGGACTTGAGCATTTTGGTTTTTAATTCCTTTTCAATGCTAACTATTTCTAGGAGATGAGTGAGCGTTCAGACTTCTTAGAGCCCTATTATAAGAATGTTAAGATCATGCGTTCCTGGTGAGGTAATCGAATCTCACGGTGGGTGGGATCTTTGGGGTCATCCGCATCCCATTTATTCAATTGCCCTGGCCAGCGACGTCATCGGGCTCCCTTTGCATTGATTCCCAAAAGTGGGTCTGTTCGTGCCGAGGGGTTATGCTAGGACATCCCGTTTATCGAGTGCTTGGGCAAATTGCAATTCACAAAAAATCGAGCTAAATTTCAAAACCGCTATTCATTTTAGAGGCATTTCAAACGGAATCGATAAAGTCAGAATTTTCCTTATTTGGAGATAACACGCTTGCATGCTCTCAAACACAGATACATGATTTGGTAATCGCTGAAATCTGCTGAAAATTTCTTGACGTTTGCCATTTGTGCTGTCGTACCATGCTCTTTGGTTTGGCGGCATGCCCGTTTGCGCAGTGAATAACGATGGAAAAAAATTTTGGAAATACAAGTTGCTTTACCCTTTTCGTGAGAGTCACGTCGAAGCAATACCGAGAAGATAGTACAAAATTCACAAATTCATACGAAAATAGTGATGAAAGATGAGAAATGTTTACTTTACAAAGAAGATCAATAATTTTTTTGTTTTAGAATTCGCTAAAATAGTAAGTGAGATTGAAGTTGATTTTTGTTGCACTATATTTTAGACATTATTGGTAAGCAGCAAAAAACCTGTTTTGTAACGTTTATCATTTGGCCTACAATCTATCCTTTCGTTTTCTCTCGCGATGCCGCCTTTCTCTATTTGCACTAACTGAGTTCTAGTCACGCTTATGTGTTTACGACCATTCCAAGCATCCATTTCTCCCAATCAAGCAAACCTCCATTTGCATATACATATATGCTTCATGTTCGACAGTATAGGAATCGAAGAGATTCACCATGCCCCTAGTTTTAATTCGTGTATTTGACAGTCAGCTATGGTTGAAAACCTATTCCTAAAAAATGGTCCAACAGCTATTACCTTTCTAGATCCCCGCTTGACTAACACATCACAGTTTTGATAAAACCTAGTATCTGCAACTTCAGAGGTGGCTTGACATCAGCCATTTCAGCAAGAGAGAGTTAAGAGTATTCAATAAAGTGATGATAAAACATCGTTCCTGATTCATCACAAACTAATCAATCAATATGTTTATTTCATTAGAAAGCACTTGTTCAAAGAACATAATAATTGATAACATTAAGTTAGATCGATTTGACAAGCCACTCCGTAGTGTATATTTCGTTCCTTCATTTCTCTGATTGGCCTAAATGTTATCTAAGCCTAGGTTTAATTGAAAATACTAGTACATTTAGCCAACCCTTATCTTTATTAAAAATCTGTATGTGTAAAATAGAAAATGATTTGCATCTAACACCGGTTTGTGAAATGGCTTATTTAAGATTAGTTATATCTGTTTTCAGGTTTCTTTACTGTTAGGACCACATTTGCTTCACGCCGTACGTGATGCTTGCAACAACAACTCAGTCAAGAACTCCCTCTTGGCAACATAATTATCAGAACTATAGCATAATTTTATTTGCCTACCACCTAATTAATTTTATATGAAATAGTTCCAATTCCTACACTTTTTTCAAGGTTCTACAAAATAGTTTTCTACTGATGTTGTTTTGCAGACGATAAACTGCAGTTTTATGTGGTCTAAATGCTAAATATGCATATGACATTTATAAGTTTCAAATACCTAAGATCTTAAAGAAATGATTTTTCCAATAACACTTATGTTTGCTTTGATTTTGTATGTAGCGTCAAGGTCACCGGGTGTAACCCGCAACATCTAAACTCGTACCTTATCCTTAAGAGGTGCATTATGTTGAGGTATTTGCATATTTTCTTAATTCACTTGAAAAGTTTTACCAATATATTGTGTACATTTATTCCTTTAAATCATATCTTAAACTCGAAATGTGATTGTTTTGAGGATTGCTCCCTCCCCAAAATCTGCGTTTGTTGTAGCTCGTTTCTAATTTGGCAGAATCCTCAACATTTGACTTGACTATGCCTTACTGAAAAGTCTGCCGAAAATTATTTAATGAATAATTTATTTCGGTGACAAAATCTAGTGTCCGTATCACTTGCAGAGTTTTGTTCGTTTCACTTCCTCATTAGCGAATTTACTTAACATTTCTTATATGGCGTAGATCGAGTGCTCGCAGTTTTGTAAAATAAAACTAGGGTTCTCTGTGGTTGGTGTTAGATCTTTTTGTTGGTACTACTTTCTCTGTGCTATTCGTTAAAGTCGTTTCAACTTGTGAAGGTCTTTTTTCTAACGCTTTCTAGCACATTTTGGTGCTCCTTTGCATCATACCTTTGCGAACGTGTGCGTATATTGTCTCGCAGCAGCTGCGTGACTCTAACGTGCCTATTTTTATATTTTTACTGATAAACACGGCGAGATATTCTTCTGCTATATCACTTCAGATGTAAGATAAATCTGTATTTTCCTAAATCATTCTCCCATGTTCACAGGTTTCATTTTCATCTTACTTTATTAATGGCCTGTCTTTTTCCGATGATCAATGCGAATGTTTTGATTTTTCAACTGAATACTTGCTCAATTATCCAGTTATTATAGATACTGTTTAAAGTTTCATAATAACTTTGTTTTTGTAGGAGCATGCAGAGTATGTGACTACAAGTGCTCCCGTAGGCATGCATTCACAGGTGTGTCCGCCACAGCCCTTCCCCGCCGGCGGTGCGCCCAGCCAGTTTTGGCGTGGTGTTGATGGCGGCGGTCGACGGGTGATGCTGGTTGCCGCAGCGACGCCACCGACTGGTGGCACGACGCTGAGCAGTCCCGGACCCAGTCCGTCAACTCCTCTCAGCCACCGACACTCACCCACTAACGCCCGCTCAGCTCCTGTTTCCCCCGCGCCCGCCCCTCCTACACCGCCTCCTCCCCCTCCAACTCGAAATGTTGTCCAGCGCCATCAGCCGCAGCAACAGCCTCTAATGCATTTCACTCATCAACCTGGTTCTGTTGCCACGACCACGCACTCCATGGTTAGTCTCCTTTTCATCAGTGTATGAAGGATGCAACTGTTTTGTTCGAATACTAGCCTCTCAATGCCAGTGATTGGACGTGATAGCTGATTTTATCGACCCACTTGTTATCGTAAATTTTGAAATCTAGGCCCTCAGCAGCATCTAAATCGATCTTTCTCCCATCTTTTTGCATAATTATCGTCTCGCTTCCTGCAAATACTTTTCAATTTTACCTGCAAAACCTTTAAATAGTCTGATTGTCTGCAAGGCTGGTATCAAGGTGTTATTTTTCTAAGGGTAATTCAGCCCCTTAGTAAAGGCTTCGTAATGCCGTCACTTCGCCACCGCCTCACTCAAAGACTAACAACTGCCACTTCGTTTATGCCTGCCGGCTCTGCGACGTCTCACCCAATTTTATAGATGACTTCATCCACGACATGCCTCACCTGTTTGTGTGTTCTGTGACACTGATACCTAGTCTCTTGCATGCGAACTGATGAGTGATGAAGGGAGCTTAGTTTCCAATGTTACACAACCGCGAATAGGCGTTGTGTCAGCGTTATTGCTGTGTTGACTTAAACGCTCTTCTCTTTTTTGCAAACTTTTTTGCTAAGAATACGGGCATATGAATGTCTCGCGTCAGGTCATTTAAACAGCGAAGTTGGAAGCATTCTTTGGTGGCTGACGCACTTTGCACTTTGACCCAGTGTGTTTTTAGGTTATTGAAACAGGTCAACATTGTCACCTTAGCCGTGAACAACATTCCAGCCGACACGTTTGCGACCTAGTTTAGTCCAGGTATTGGATGTTGGATGCATGGCCGTTCAGTGTCTATTCGATTCCAGTGGAGTTAACTGGTGTTCGCAGCGTACGTAGAGCGGTAAAGCATTACAGATCTGGGCCATTGAACAAACCTGCATCATGAGCTTAAACCCTGCCGGCTCCTAAAGCTTTCTGTGGACAGCTGTTTCGTGACAAGTGGAATGCTGATCTAGTACGTTAATTGAAGGTACTTGCATCTTATTTGGAATGCAATTGTTCTTCTAGAGCAGTGAGCTTTCGATCTTGTTGTTCGACCTGAAGTCCATTCTACCGAATTATCTATACCAATTTTGAGTTTCTTCCTAGTTTTGCTCCGTTTATCAAACAAACCTGAGCAATAAGGATTCCCATGTTTCGTGATGGACATCCAATGTGTGCGTCACAGTTAGTCGATTGTACTGGTCCATCACAATATATTACCATTCAGAACTAGTTTCTTTGCACTAAATCTAATTTATACCTGGACCCTTGATGTCGTGGAATAGTCTGTTGCTGGTAGGCATGCACAGGTCCGTAACAGCATCTACGTTTTGAGCTTTAGCCTTCGTGCCACACAACCTTGTACACCATCGCGTGCAGTCCTTGTGGTGAACAGTTTGCCCTTCTGTGCTTTGGTTATCAATAACACTTGTAGTTAGTGTACAAGATTCTCGTGCCAAAAGCGCCGTCTCCTGTATGGAGTCCGCCCGCCCGTTTTAGTAATGCTACGTAATCTTGGATGTTTATATTTACTCATCGTTTTTGGGGCAATGCACAATTACTAATGCCATCATTACTATGCCTGAATGACACGCAACAACCCGGAAACCGTGCGGACAATCACGGGTGCCGCGGAGGAACGGCGGCGGTGGCGGCGACGACGACGACGGCTAAGACGAAGCAAGACTACGCATGTCAGAGCGCAGCGTGCAATGGCCCACCGAGCGAGCGAGAGAGAACTGCATGCGTGGTGCGCGCGTGCGCGCCGTCTGCCTGTTCAGGAGGCTTGGCGTGCGCGCATGCATTATGCGCGCAAGTCGAATGTTCGCAGGTGCACGCTCGAGCCTGCGCGCGCGCGCGCACGCGCCCACTGGGCGGATTTGCGCACGTGCGCGTGCGACTATTGATTGCGTTGCCGCACGTGCGTGCGTGTGTGAGTGCATTTCGTCTGCTGACTAAGTCAATTTACTACATTGCTGCCGTGCCTGTTAGGGGAGGGTTGGTGATGCCTGTGTGGCGTGATCTCTCGTGAGCGTCGTCTACAAAGTTTTCAATTGCCGTCTCGCAGCTGGTGGTTCCCTCCCATGGTGTGGGCTGAAAGTGTGTGCATTCACCCCTAAATCGACGAGGGAAATGTACGGCGTTTCATCGCTTTACCAATATTGGTAAAACTACAGTGCACGCCGGTTCCGCCAATCAAGACTAAGCAGAGCTCCAATTTGGGGCATCCTTAATAGACTCAATTCAATTTCAGCTCACGGCCTTCAAAAATGCTAATTTTATTTAGATTGTGACAAATTAGCATATCAACCAATGTTCAGGGGGCTAGTAAATTGCCTTGAGAACATGCGCCTGTGCTCCGATTGCTGAAGTCGACTGTTCTGGCTGGCAGTAAAAAATTAAACAATGCAAATCGTGCGTGAATGTGTATGGGGGCGTGTTTGTGTCAAAATAGTTCTCACATTTTGTGAATTAGAATTCAGAGCTGTTGTACGCCATTATTTTACTAGTGAAATATGGTTTTAATCTGAGTTTCTGCACGCAACACGCCTACATGAATGAAATTAATGTACAGTATCGAAGCGATAGGCTAAAGTCAATTTGAGATGACGCTAAAGCACGTTTTCAGTGTGGATCCGCAGATTTCAGATAAAACACCGTTTTACTAACCATTTAGAATGTCCTCTGTATCGTGTCTGGGCTTGTACGTAATCCACATTTCCACGTTGTTTGAAAATTACCAGTTTTTATTTCACCGAACCACCCTGTGTGCCCCTTTAAAATTCTAACAGGTAACCTCTAACTTTGTTACGTGTTCGCGTATGATCAAATCCGATTGCTCGAAGCTAAAGGTTAGTGGTTAAACTTGGCACGTAGCGCCTTAATCCGCGTTTGTTTTCGCAGCTCGCTACAGTAAACCATGATTGAACTCAATTTTAAGCCGTAACAGATTCTACATTCACTCATTTTCTAATTCAGGCACCGGACTTCCGGAACCGCCCGACACCCTGCACTTCACAGGAACCTCCGTCTGGAATGGGTCCCAGACAGAGTTCGCTTCCTCGTCCCGATCGTTCGTCAAATTCTTCACCCGACGACTACGCCCCGCCGTCCCTGCCACCCAGGCAAGCGCGTCTTTTGCTTTTCTCCATGCCTGTCGTCTGTTAGTCTAGTGTCTCAATTTGATTGGTTGTGCGCTGCCAACATGCCGCATGGTACGCACACTCGTAATTTCCCTCCTTCAAACAACCGTTCTTTTTGGTGTTTTTGATTTTCCTGGGAATTTTCCGTCGTTTTGCTGGTGGTGGATAAAGTGCGTAAACAATGCTGCTAGATTTCTCCAGTCTAGCTTACAGTCGTTGCGCCACCATGCATGCGAGTCCAGCGGTACTTCGTACTTCCAATTTGTTCGAATTGGTTATGCTATGTTTCTAAGTGGCCGCCCTGTCAAATAATGCGGTAACCTTCCGAATGCATCCCGCGTCAGCACCTCGAGAAAAAGTAGGCTAGTTTTGGTTGCACGGTCAGATGTAATTATTAAATTCTCTTAATTGGTAAATGAGAGGCATCCCGTTGTGTGTGGAAGATTGGTTCTATGTAAGGCGAACTAGCGACTGCATCAGTGACGATGTGTGGAATAAGGCATCTTTGTGGTAGTGAGTTGTGGAGTGTGTGCGTTATTGCTGAAAGTGGTATTGCGTACGCATTCGACTTACTCTGCACAATCATGGCTGAAGACGGCCAAACTGTTGTGCTAGTTTGATTTTGAGGGCCTGTCCCCTCCAGGACATGACTAGGTGTGTGTTTAGCGCGAAACCCTCGTCTAGACAGGCATAACCGAACCGACACGGTGGACGCTCCAAATCAGTGGGAGTCCAATGCTTGAGCTTTGAGTTAGCATCACCATGGGTACTTAGTTCAGATCAACATGGCGTTGACACGAAGGAGTTTCGATTTGGGTGGAACTTATTTTTCTCATTCAAGTCTAACGAATAACTGCAGCATCGTCTAAGTCAATCTTGGCAGCCTACTTCGTCGATTGTTAGCGACTTTCACAACTGATAACCCCTCATTCTTGCCTTGAGACCCTCTGTTATTAGCAGACACGCTTCAACGCATTTGGTGTGACACTGGTATTCTGTTGTAGGCTCGCGAAGATTAGAAAGACCGGTGATGGCGGAGACAACCGTTTTATTTATTTTGGCTCAGCCTAGTTGTGTTTTGTCTGCGAAAAAGGGGTCACGTCTGATGAGTGGAGTTTGGTGATCGATACAGTCGGGGTGAGTCTGAAAAGCCAGACGTGGAGGGGGCGGTGCACGCACAGGCGTGTCTGATCCGCCAGATCGATAGGACGGCGAGTCTGAAGCTACGACGACGGGACGTGACTCAGCACCAATCACTACAATATTTTTCAGCAAATCTATTTAATGTAGAAAAGTGAAGAACAACGAACTTAATCTTGGAAGCATCGTTCATCATTTTTTATAACAGTGCGGCATTTCTCAGGTAGCAAACGAATGTCGTCCAGGAAGGAATTTGCAGGCTTCGAGGCACTCAAGTCATCATCGACGAATTCACGCACATCGTCCAGCGTTTAGGAAATGTTCATCCACGAAGGCATGCTGCTGCTTCACTGGCCAGAACAAATGTTAGTGGGATGGGACAATTTCCGGTGAAGAAGCTGTGTGTGGGAGAAGTTCTCATTCCAAGTTCAAGAGGGCGAGCAACATGAGGTGGTCGAGCGTTGTCATGCAGCAGCAGTGGCAGTATGACTTGCCTGCTTCCTTGTCCAATAAATGGCCTTTTCTGTTCATGCTGTTCGCCCAGTTTGTTCAAATGTCGGCTGTAGTGTTGTGCAGTCACTGTCTGGCCGTCTGCACGAGCTCGTTATGTGAAATTCCCCTGATGTCCCCCACCAGATACACAGAAGAACCTTCTTCAAGTGGATGTCTGTTGGCCCATCAATTAATGCCGGGAATGTTCTCGAAAGTCCGGCGTCTCATTCTAGAAATTTCGTATGAGTAGATGATGTTTAAGGGAAGGACAAAGTGAAGTCAAATAGGGATGCATTTAAACCTCCCTCAAAATCCGGTGAACACTGTTTTTCAGACCATTTCACTGCGAAAAGGTTTTTTTTTCGTTTATTTTCCTTGTTCCAGGCGTCACCCGCCTCCTCCGCCCCCCAGAAGTGGCAGTGGTTTGTGCCCGTCGCAACCAACGCACTCGTGTCTCTCACCCGACCAACGCCGCTACGCCTCCACTCCGCCGTCGTCGTCGTCTTCGTCACTCCATCGTCCCTCACCGCCGCAGCGTTCGCTGGGAGACAACCGAGCACCAGTCCCTTTGATACCGCCTACTGTGTCTCCGCATCGACCCTCTGAGTGTCCCTCAGATTGTTTTGACGTGGAAGTCACGAATAGCCTGTTGCGACTGTTGTTCGCTCGCTTTGTCGATGGCAACGACGTCACGGCGCCAGACCTACGCAGGGTCGTAGCGCACTTGGTGCAGATCGCTCACACGGAGATCTTCATCCAACCTCCGAGTCTACAGGCTCCTCAGCGGTGTCTGGAGGCGACGATGGGACCTGGTGGCGGGTTGCTGGAAAAGATGGAAGTCTCCTTATACGACCAACAGTCAGCTTCGTTGTCAAGCCATCTCCACAAGGGTATGCAGCGACGCAGTCGCAATTCCGTTGTCTGGTGTGCTGTAATAACTTTCAAATAATTATTGCATGGTGTAAGCGATTGCTGGCTCACTGAGTTCAGTCGTTAGTGTCTGCTATTTCAGCAAAAGTGTTCAGGGCCGACCTCGACGTTGTGACCTCAGTGACAGACATGCAGGATACTGACGATGCCGTCGACGAAACCGCCTCTACCTCGTCGTCTTCCGAGTCTCCGAATTCCAGTGACGACGAAGTCGAGGAGGGAGGTGATTACGATGTCTACGAAGATGATATACGAGGTCTGACGGGGACACCTAGCACACAGCAAGCCCCCGCCGGTGGTGTCGCGCTGTCCGCGCCAGAAGCATCCAACGCTCACACTGGAACAACGCCGACGACACACCCGACTACCACCCTCCTGACCGTGGCGGAACTGCATGCCCTTCCGCAGAACACCACCATCAAGTGCCTCAAAGCATCTGCCATGGAGGTATGATAGGCTTCAGCTTTCAGTAGAATGCCTTGTTATTGGTTTTTTGCTAAGGTTAGGCAAATCTTCGCAGCTCTTCATCGCAGGCAAGGACAATTCTCCATAACGAGTTTAGGGATTGTGCACGTTACATGGTTTGAGCGGTCACAAATTACACCTAACCACAAATTCTTGGGTTGTGGTTATGGGTGCCTTAACCGCGCCGGACCTGTCAATTTTATACAATTCTGTGATAAAACTTGTCACATGTGTCCACGGAGACATCAGGACAGTGCTCCTAGTCATGAGTCGATGCACCCCAAGTGGTGAACAACGAACCTTCGCTGTGTTCACACAGTTGACACATTTCGGACGTCCCAGTCAGGTCCATGCCAATTTCTCAATGCATTCGACGGCTTCTTCGGAATCGTAGGATGTCACCTCTCGAAGTCGAATCGTTCGGCGTCCTTCGAGCGTAAAGACGGATAATGTGTTTCACACCACCATGAGCCTCCGTCGCTAAACCGCAATAGCCGCCGAGATAATTGACCGAACAACGTGTTCTTCAATTTCAAACAAGAAAGCTGCTCGTGGCAGACAGGCATGGGAACATGTCTGACAAGTGGGGTGGTTGGTGTCTGCCTGCGTTAAATCACACTGCTTAGCAAACCACTTTGCAAATAACCAGGCAAACCAGCAGAACGATGCCGCAACTGACGTTTTGATTTGGCTTCCTTTCTTCTTAAGCACACTCTACCAATCCTTTCTCGTCAACTGCTTGGCAAGTTTGGGTTATTCTAGTTGGAGAGCTCAGTTGGTTGGGCGTTTTGGGGTTTTCCAACTACTGTTCCTGAGTTTGTAGCAATTCTGCAATTGTCCTTGTTTTCTCTATAACGTACCAGCAGTCAGGAAAACACTCCTTTTATGCATTCAGGTTCAAATTTACGAATGGACACCAAATAACGCATATCACGATGTGTCGCTAAGGCAACAAGAATGTCCATTCCTTGAACTGTTAAGCTTCAGGTACTGAGGTAATGCGGGAGCATGCATGCAATTAATTGAAGATATCACACAGGCACACGGACACCCGCGATTCGATGGGCTGCTGTGCCAATCCCCGGCTTGGTTTAATTGTCGTCGTAAATAGGCATTTATCAGTGTCGACGCGCAACAAGCACACCCTGTTCGCAGTCATCCACACTTAGTTGCCCTCCTCCACGTGTGAACGCGTGCGCGCGTGCGCCCCACCGAGTGACTGTGCCAAGAGGGCGAAGGAGGGGGGGGGAGTAGGAGGAGGAGGGAAAACACTGGCCCACCAGTTGCCTTCCCGATTGCCGCCACTTCTCCAGAACACGGCGCGAATTCACGCGCTCTCCTACTGCACAATGCAAATTCAGTAGAGGTAATAATAACCCAGGACGTGTTAAAAAGTAGGAATATACCTTGTGAAAAATGGCTCGTGATGGAAAGAAACTGGCGAGAGGCATGTGGGCTGTCCCAAACAATGATTTATGACCCGTCGTAACTTCCAGTCGAATAAGAAACAGCAGTAATGACTGGTGGTGGTGCTTGGGCTGAGTCATTCCGAGAGGAGTTTGAAATTTGAGCCCGGATAATGGTTGGAGGCATTAACGGGTGAAGTGGCGATGCCCATCGCTACCCTCGGCGGTAGTTTGGTGTTGCCTAGTGCTGTTCCAAACCACGCGTTTAATGTGCCTGAGGCATTATTACCTTCGTCGTTGATGAGGCCACACAAGTCACAATGCCATCCAAACGCCTTAATGCGTGTGCACGCAATAAAGGCCTTTTTTGCGTGCAACCACACACCCCGAAACATAACCGGTAAAAGAGAAAGCACTTTGTTGCTGTTGTAATAAAACACGAGTTGGAAATAGTACAAAGAGACTCTCCTGCACCACTTTTAAAAGACCGCAACACCCATTTAGTTTGCTTAATCGTGTTTGAATGGGCGTTTTGACACAGCGGGTGATGAGTTGGAAGGCGGGAGTCGAACTGGGGTCGGGCAAATACCGCAAAATATACAGCTTTCAATTAAACCGGCACACAAACCAGCCCATGGAGCACGAAGTTATGCCTAGATACAAATGTATCTCCCGCAAACGTATCACCATGCACCAACATTTCAGGGATAAATTGTCAACCAATAGGAGAGGGTGTGTAAGTGTGTCGAACATTGCAAATATAATACGCACAAGATTTCCAGCGTGTTCGTACTATATTAAGACGATTAGTTGAAAAATTGGCGGTTTTGACAGTGGTTTTTGAGTTGACAGGGGAAATGCATATGTGCATTGTCGATGAAGGCAGACACGCTTTTGAGACAAAAACTTCGCACGATTTTGACATGGATTTCCATTAATAACCGAGAATATTGTTCAATTTCCTCCAGAGTAAGAATTGAAAAACCGCAAACGCCCAACCAACTAAGCTCTCCAACTAGAATAACCCAAAACTTGCCAAGCAGTTGACGAGAAAGGATTGGTAGAGTGTGCTTAAGAAGAAAGGAAGCCAAATCAAAACGTCAGTTGTGGCATCGTTCTGCTGGTTTGCCTGGTTATTTGCAAAGTAGTTTGCTAAGCAGTGTGATTTAACGCAGGCAGACACCAACCACCCCACTTGTCAGACATGTTCCCATGCCTGTCTGCCAC